GCTTTAGTTTAATGATTATCTTCTCAAAACAGTTTATAAGGTGGGGAAAAACTCCTTTTTTATTAACCTAAACAGAAAATACCAACTAAGACACAGCGTACCAACCATTTTTGCTTTCAAATCTGAAGATTTAGTGGAAAATCTGTGAATGTGCCTACTGTGGTGACTACGGGCTCTCAAGTTTGGCCAGGATGGGCAGGATTGGCAAGAAAAGCTCTTTAAACGCCCCACTGGGGATGAAAGAATCTATCTTATGTACCCAGCTGAGGCACAGCAACTACTACCCTTCACTTACTGTAGGAGGCTTTACACCTGCAAGCAGTGAACGGTCTGAGTCACTCATTACCATCATGAACTAAAACAACATTGTAAAAGCTTCACTCTCTCAGGTACCACAATCGTATGATCAAATAATCTAGCCACACACTATCATTTCTAGTATAAGGCAGCTACTAATAATGGTTTTGATCTATAATGACCTATTTCAGATACACACACACACATAGATTTATGTGTATTTTGTATTAAAATAATGGCAGGACACTGCTTTAGAAATCATGTCTGTCTCTACTTCCATCTTACTTCCATCTACTTCTCATGTCTTACGAATTGTTCCTATTTCTGCCCTGCATCTTTCATCTTTTGCTGCTGTTGAGGTAATTCAGAACCAAATCACCAGCAAACCTCACCATCACCTAATTCTTCTGTGCTCTCCTACGGAGGAGGAGGAGAAGGAAGGAAAAGAAAAAGAAATAAAACTGTCCCTTTAAAAACCCAAGCATTTAAGCTGCTTGTCAGTCGTCTTCCTGACAAGGCCACTTGAATGTATTCAGGAATATTTGCATAAATGCTCACAGTGAGTTCACCGTGGCAGCTAGCGCTAATGGTACATAAAGTAATTTAGTCACTTCTCTTAGGCATCCTGTCAGGGTGATAAGCACCCCCTCTTTGCCTTGTTGCATATTAGATCATTAGATAATAAAGTGTTAGAGCATGCAAACTGACAGGGTCTCAGGGACTATCATTTTTCGAGGGCATTACATTCTGCCAGTAAGGAAAAATAATAGAGAAACTGATGCTGCAATTGGCTTTACAATGTTGTAAACCATTCAAAGATTTGGGGGAGAAAAGAATTTTTACTTTGCAGCAATATGAGACTTTTAATTGGAAACTTTGCAGACATCTGCAGTGGTGGACTTCATGCTGGTAAAACTGAAAAGAGTAGTTGCAAACCCTTTCAGAATTCTCCCCTTCCATAAGCTAGTCACTTAAATTCCATTGGAAAGATTTTTGCCTTTAAAATTGACACCCTGGGATGAACTACAAGCTGAAACGTATTTTACTGGTTGGGGCCTATTGGCTCTTTGCCATACATCTTACTATATACGTACAATTTAAAAAGGTCAACCACATTGGCTTTCTGGTTTACCATAAATATAAAACAAGTGAGAATCCAACTATTTGTGAATGAAAAAGTGATAATTATTGAAAACCACAGATTACTGTGGCTTACCCTATTTATACCACAGAAAGATGTATGAAATAATTGGCCTTTGCCAGCTATTACTTTTGAAAGATAGAGATATTTGTTTGAAATATGAGCTTCTTAAGAAGCGCACTGGTTTCAAGCAGGACAGTGTGTAGAAACGAAACCCTGATCTAGGTTCCTAGTTATATTCAGAGAAATGAGCTACGAAAAGGAACTTTCATTTTACTGTCCGACAAGAAAGATATAAATAGAGATGTGTTGGATGTCCCAAAAATAATCCAGGCTACCTGCTAATGAGATGGTAAAACCCAAATGTGGAGACACCAGGCTCCTGAGTGGCTCCAGAGGCAAAGCTTTCTTTCCAGTTTTTTGGCACCCTAAGTCTCTTTTAAGTGTTACATAAACTGCAACTCTGTGTTTAAGAGAAGAATGTCCCAATACAACTTTGTAAGGAAAAAATAAGCTGGATATTGTCTAACTAAACTAGGCAACCAGCACACTCTCTTGCTACATCCTCTCGCCCCTTTCCCCAGTCCTCACACAGTCAGGCATTCATCCCTATTGCAATCAGATATTTGTGTTAAAGCATTAAACATCTAGAAAAGTACATGGGAATACATTTGGTCAAGGGCATATTATAGGTAGAACCCAGCATCTAAAAAGCTATGATCAGAAGTTGCTCACCAGAGCAATAAACCAGAGACAAACTAGCCATTACTGCGTTAGCTTCCCATTTCACCGTTGACAGATACTGTTCAGGGCAATCTGTCCTTCCCCAGAGGGAGGCAGGAAAGCTGGAAAGAGGAAAGGCAAACAGTTTCTGCTACTGACACTTGAAGATACTATCTGAGATAAAAAAATCCCAAAACTGAAGAAAAATACTGAACTTTGGGACTCAAACTAAAAGTAAAAATTCATTTCAGTGTTGGAAACTGTTACCTGTTCCAATGGGTTTAAGGTTTGTGGTGATTGCCCAAAATTCAATAGTATTAAAGCCAGTTGAGATTTTTCCTGTCTTTGTTTTCGTTCAGTTAAGCGGTTTAGACATCTGAAGTCAACATTTAAAAGAGCTACTGAATTTCTTTTTAATTCTTCCCCCTCCCCCGCCTTTGGATTCAGATGTGCACAGAATTCCTGGAAATTTGGATTGAAGGATTTAGGTTAAAAGAAAGGCCTCACCAAGCCTCTGGGAAGCGTTCAATTCTGCAGTGTGGATGTTACTATTCGAAAGTAAGAATTTACTAGTGGTCGCTTTATGAGGTTGCTCGAGAGGTGCCTGAGGAAGTAGATGAGAAAAATCACCTTTCCCACAAAAAGCACACATGGAGATGTTTTGCAGATGTTGACTTTAAATGTTAGCACAGTAACTAGGGTTTGTGCAGATATGTAAGCATAGCATTATCTCTCTTTTGCTTCTTTTTCCTAAGAGAATCCCTCAGGTACTAGGAGTGGGAATAATAACTGTGGTAACATGAGATGCCATCACACCATGCATGGGAATAAGAACATAAATGGATGAGAAAGTAACTATCGCCTTGACCAAAAGCATGCACTGAGAAGACTGCAATGAGGAGAGAGGGAAAAAAAATAAATAAATAATTTGGCATCTACTTTAGTAGGAATATAAGTATAATATAGAAGTGCTTTTTTGAAAGAATACATTTAATTCAAAGATTACAAGGTTGAACAAAGAGAAGTTTCCTTTTGTAATGTTCTGCCTTCTGCTAATTAATAAAGCAGAGCTCATACATTCCTTACAAAAATTCAGCAAAAATTATGACAGTGGCTTATTAAATTAGGTTGTTGGCAGGATGAAAAAAAAATTCTGTAACATGAATTATGGCCGAAAATGGCTTATAGCCTACATAAAAAGTTAGAGCTAAATAAATACAGATGTAAGTTATGTTTATATAATGAGAAACGCTGCTGAGCTAAGAATTTTAGGTTAGTAAGTGTGAACTACAGACCCGATTCTGCAAACACTTATCAATACCCTCAACTTTACTGACACAAGAAGCCTCATTGATCCCAACAGGACCATATGTGTGCATAATCTTAAATGTATGCATAAGTGCTTGCAGGTCTGATGCCTGAAAGCTTAAGCAGAATAGAAAGCTATTTCCACAGGAATTCACTGAGCAGTAGAAACCCACACATTTGCCCATTTCTTAGTATTAATAATTTCTTTTAACATATCTAGTTAACATTTTTCTGAGTGGCATTTGCATTCCCAGAGAAAAATTTATCTGGCTTTCTTCAAACTCTTTGGAAAAAATCTATTTAATTATTCATCAGATCCTTGGCAAATATTTGTGAAACAAACCAGCATAAAGGACTGGTGCCTTCTACACTCAACTACTTCAATGGAAGCTGAGGGTATACATCTCTTAGAGGGAGCAAGCTCCTATTGAATTTAGGGTTACAAACAGCTTTGAAGACAAAGAGCTATTCTACCAAGCTGGAACAGGGAGAGGGGAGTGAAATGCCCTCTGTTTTTGTTTTGGTTTTCAGTAGTAGTCATCAGCTTTGAGGACAAAGAGCAAAACAAAACATTAATCAAATCCAGATTTTTTTAAGTACATTTGTACTCAACAGCTCCCATTTTTAAGCACCTACAGTCACCAGCAGATGTTCTCTTCCAGGACCAGCTGATCCTACGGAAAAGATTACTGGCCCCCAAGTTGCTTCCAGCCATGTGCCCCCATCCCACCCTTGCTGGGGTTTACTGTCTGTTCAGAAAAGCCAGACGAATTGCCTTGCACCATTTCTCCTTCAATCATATCAGCAAAATAAGCTAGATTGGTAAGCAGCTATTATTTAAAGGGCTTAACTCAAATGAACTTCTTTCGACTGAAGGAGACTAGGGAGCAATCAGACAGCCATCTTAGCTGGCATTTCCATGGTGGAGAATAGCCTGCAGCAGGGAGGACAGACAAGCGGCTGTGGCACACAGAGAACAGCAACTTTTTCAGCTGGTACAGCTGAAGCCAGAAGAGAACACTCATCCATGGCTTGAGTAAGCAGATGGATTTCCAAAAAGGCTCTGCTTTCATTTAGGGCAATTCAGAGGAACAGCTGGATCTCCTAGAGACCTCAGCACCTTATAGATAAAAGAAATCCCATTCAAAATTTGGGTTCTATGCACTTCAGAAAATATGCAACATGCTTGATTTGCACAATCAAAAACCCAGGAAATTTGGGAAAGATCAGGCTCTGATTTGGGTGCTGAATAGATGCAAAAAAAAAAAAAAGAAAGAATAAACAAAGAAATCACCACTCTTCACTGACACAGACTCTGCACCATATTTGCCTACAGGTTCGTTACTGCACTACATTTAGTGCTGACCTACTTGAAAAATTCCCCTGTAGTCTGGAGGCCAGTCTCTTTGAAATATCCAGTCCCAAAGGTATAAATTGTTACAGGACAATTTGAGACTGATAGCCAGAGACACAAATCAAATAAATCCACATTTAAAGTAGCAATGGCAACCAATGAAAATGATATGCCTACCATGTTCCAGATAAGAAGGCGTACCTTCCGAGGGATCAAGTCTTCGAGCTCTCCGCCCATGCTTGGAATTGTTGTGTACAAACATATTGTCCGACACTGCCAACACATGGCCATCAACATTGACTGTTGTAGACACCACAACCTGCAACCACAAGAGCAAAATGGAGGAAAATTTGGATATATATGTATGTTTTTCAAGAAACATAGAGTGTAATAAACTCAGTTAAATAAATAACAGCTGGGAGCTGTAGAAAATTGCATAGCTATTTCACATAATAACTGGTGCTTATGCTGTACAAATCTAACAAGAGACGCTATTGATGAGTGGGTCTTTGGCATCGAAAGCTTTTGATGCAGTTTTAAGTCAAATTGCAGAGTTTGTAGCTGCATGGCAGACAGCACACTGTTAACCATCATTTTAACAAGAGGATCTTTATTAAGTATTTTTTTCCTATATACAAGGGCAGCTGTGTTTCACCCTAAATTATCCTTCAGTTTCCATGCTGAAGTAGATAGAGCTGTTGACATTGCAAATGAGAATCGATTCAGAATAAAAGAAAACAAAAGGGTATTTTGTGAAGTTGTGATGAGAGTTGTTGCATGCCTACCCCCTTCCCTTCTCAACTGCTGTCCCCTTCATACAGTCACTACAGGTTGTTGGACTTGCCCAAATTTCTCCCAAGCTCTGTCTTAGGGAGTACATATAGGTATGTTTGTGTACACATACACACTTGACAGTAGGGTCTTGATCTGGAGAACACAACCCTATTCATCCAGTGTTGGAATTATTTGTATTTCTCAACTTATCTCAGTGTCAACACCTGGGATTTGGTTTGAGGCAAGGGGAGGGAGACAGAGAAGCACTGCCCTGGAGGCAGGATCCAACACTTCTGCTCCCTAGAGCAGCCCCAGGTACGAGAGGAGCCAACCCAGTAGGGGCAAACAGGAAAGTGTTGGGTCCAGAGTAAAAGACCCAACTGCTCAGAGGTGTCCAGAGGGACCCCTCAACCGTGAGGATCAGCAGGCACCGTCCTATAGGAAATCCCCAATCAGGCTGAGCACACCCAAGACATGAACTGTCATGGAAGAAAGAGGGGCAAGTCCCTGGCAGAGCTGCAAGCTCATCATTCCGGGTCTCCTCGACCCTGCTCAGATCAAGCAGCCTCATAGAATCCCCGGCTTTCATTCAGCCATCCCTCCCATAGTCTTTTCCCAACAAAGTATGCTATTCCCAGGGTTTTACCCCAGCCAAAGATTTAGCTTTCAGCTGGCTGCTGATTTGCCAGGAGCACACACCGCCTTCAAGAACTTTGACTAAAACAATAAGAAGAAATGACCTACACTTCTCCTTACATTAAACAGGGAAAGGGATTAAAAACTGAAACCCACAGAGATATGTTTATTCATGCGACCTCTTACAACCAAATATAATAATTGTCTGTTAATTGCAGTTTCAGCTCCCACCTCATGCTTCGACATGTGAAACAGCAATCAGCAGCTCCTGTTTAATCCACCTATTATGTTGACTAATTAACTTTGCTCGACAGTTTATTTCTTCCTCCATTATCAGCCCCTGTCAGCCGCAAGCACACTGCCGCAAAGGGGGACCTCAGCCCTTTTGATTGATCACCGATAGATTGACATGCAGATTAATTTAATTAGAATCACCTCACTTGAGAAATGAAAGACAATAGCAAGGGGGCTAATAGATCTGCTCTTATAATGAGGCAAGCCTCCAGAGCCATGGCAGAGGATTTCTGATTTATTTTGCTGAATTCCCCAGTCGCTCTGAAAGGCTCTCGCTTTAATTGTTCTTGGTTTTGAGAGGCTTTAGCCTCTGAAGAGGTGAAATGCTTTACAAGGATTGGCAAACATTGCTTCAACTCTCTCAGGAAGCTGCTGCCTCTCAAAGTTGGTCAAATGGGGACACTTAAAGGATCGCTTACAACAATTAAATTTCATCACTTGAATCAGATCTAAACAAAAAAAAAAAGTGAAGATTTTCCATCTATTTTTGACCACCAATTAAAACGCTCAAAAATTTGAAGCAAGCAAAGCCGCCAAACTGCCCACTGCTAATCCCAAAGTCTTTGTCTTTGAAAAGAGGAATACGAAAGAGTAGTTTACATCTAACAGATCCTAAAATCGTCTCTCAGAATGGCATTCCAGACAATAGAGTTTTGTGCATGTTTTAAATGAAAGATATTAAAATACAGAATAAATGATTCAAGAGCTCTTACAGATGGAAATTTGGGAAAAAGAAAGCACCAAACACTATAGGTAAGTTTTTCTGAAATCAAACTAAGGGGGGAAAAAAACCCTCCAAGCCCTATATATAGAATTCCAAAAGGGATTTCAAAAGTAATTTATCCATTGCATTCCTGAGGGATAGATTAAAGTTTATGATATTTTCAATAAAATATGATCTTATAGTAAGTGGCTCAGGGTTTGCAATCTTATTTGTGCACTTGCAACCATTGTAAATTCGTTGCAACTGGGATTTTGAGCCAAATCCCTAGCTGGCATTGCCTGTCACAGCTCCATGATTTATGCCAGCTCCTTATCTTCTTCTGTGGGTCTGCTGAGATGCATGTGAAAATTAACACTATTACAATTAATAACAATGGCTACAACATATTTTCCCCAATCCTAAAAACATATAGGTGCACACAGGTTTACCACTGAAGCAAATCAATCCTGTGATGAAACCCAGAACTTTGAATGTTTCTAGAAACAGCATTCCAGAAAAATAACAGGTCAAGATTAATAATAACAAAATAGAACTCAAACCTGCGAAAATTGTGTATACAAGTAGCTGTCGCTATGCACACACCTTTCTACAGAAGACCTCAAGGAAACAATCCTTGTGGGGTCAGTTTTATGTGAGTAAATCTACATTTAAATTCTCCCCCTCAGGTTTCCACAACTGTTGATGTAACATATTTTGCATTACTTAACAGTGTCTTCCTACCTACCTCCTGAACAGAGAGTTTGATTTACTGCTAAGAGACCACATTGGTGTGGTTCTTCAGTGTTGTTAGCAGAAGAAACTATAAAAGGAATCTCTAAGAGAAACTGTTTCCAGTCTCAGGAAATGCAGAAAAAAAAGTGGTTACTCATATGTATCTGTCTGAAAAAAAAATGATTATTCACAGTGCACCTGTAAGAAGCAGCACACACTTACTGCTCAATTCTTCAACTGCAAAATCTCATTAATACAGGAATACTAAACATACACTGCACTAATGAAATATTAATGGCCCTAATTATTAAAAGAGAAAAAATATACCTTGAATATTGTGTGCCACAGTTACGTACTTGGATCACTACAGAGCACTTACATGCTTACAAGTTCTACTCATATTTTTTAATCTAAAAAAATACTACACTCTCCTCATTTTGATTTAGAAACGACTGGGATATGTTCAAGTTAAAGCATATGCTAAAAGTAATTTGTGAAGAAATCATAAAATTAGGGGGAGGGGAGAGCCAAAGTATATGTGGAATGGGCACCGAGGCATCCTAAAACATAGACCATAGCAAGAGGGAAAGGCACACTACACTTTAATAAATGATTAATGAGGTGCTGACACATTAATGTAAGCACAGGGACAACCAGGCCTGCCAAATCTCAAACCTTTCCAAATTTTGTCAACAAAACACAGTTTTAATTTGGGACAGGCAAACATGGAAAATGATTTTGAGCTTTAGCTTTAGCCGTTCATAGATTCTGATTTAAATCCTGTATCAACACCAGGGGAGACAGAGGTATGAAAGAAGCACATCGGTTTACAACTTTCTTCAATGAAATTGGCACTATCAACTGCACTAATGTATCATTCAGCTCTGTGAATTATTCTGCTTGTCATTAAATAGTTCAGTTTGTGAATACTTTGGAGCTTAGTTTAAAAAAGAAATATTCAGAGACCAGGAGCCTGGTGATCAAGCTATTTATTCACGTTTAGCACTAGGCCTGTTTATTTGTTATAGTACTTCACCTAATATATCAAAATTAAGCATTGCATGACTCCTCATTTTTAACCACAGCCCATTAAGCTTTGCTAACTGATTAAGACATAGCATGTTCCTTGGGCTTTCAATTTTCTCTGATGTATGGTGGGGGATCTGATATTTTTTGTGATGTCCCCAGCATTCAGCAGCAAAGGCAGAGAAAATCTGATTAAGACTATTTTCAGGTCTGAAGTGTGTGATAGAATTAAACCTGTAACTCTAGTGTTTGCTGCTCTTCTGAAAGCTATGCAGAAACGGTTTGAGCAACACCTTTATTTTTCTTACCACTTGGTGACCTCTTCCTACAGCGTGTTGACTTCTTTATTCTAGTAACTAAAAAATCACTCTCGATTTAACAAGACTCTTAAAAAGGTGTCTAACTTAAAGCACATAAGTACAATATATTCAGTAATTTTGCTCACGTGCCCAAGGACAGGCTGGGCACTTAATTACCTCAGCTCTCACTGCTATTTTTCAGCCTTCTTTTTTTTGCCTTTCCCTTCTCTGGGGATGGAGCCTTGCATGTCCAAATTCCATTATCTGGGATTCATGAAGCATCATCTCTGTCTCTTATGCAAATTTGCAATAAGACACAAGTGGCTTCAATTCAAACATGAGTGGCAGTGTCCCATGGAGGCAAACCAGCAGCCTAGGCTGAGAAAGAGGCTGTGGTAACAGAATCAAACAGCATGGCAATTTCTAAGTGACTTTCAAGGTTTTCATAATAAACGAATGTTTGGGGGTTTATGCAGTGACTCAGTCTGAAAAGTTTCCTCTAAATTAAAACTTGACATGTGTCAGTTTGCAAGCAGCTGTGCTAAAACAAGAACAACAAGATAACTAGGGCACCTGGGTTTCATTAATTACAATAACATACAAAACTGTTTAAGTTGTATGAATGAGGGTTTAGTGCTGAAAAATAAAGTCTGGGCAGAGTTCACCCATGATACCATCTACTTATTATTATTATTACCAGTAATTGGGGCACTACAGCCCATCCCACCAAGACTGATGACTTATGTGATGAAGAATGCAAAACCAGACTGAGCGTTTACTCCATGGGGTTTCTGGAATAAAAAGGCAAGGTTGGACAAAGGTGACAGTATGTGATACCACCAGTTTTGTGCAACTGGGCTGATGAAACAGAGATGAAATTATTTTCTCAAAGTCTATCAGGGAGTCTGCAACACAGCTGAATACTCAACTCAACTGTCTTGAGGTCCTGCACAGTACCTGACTTCTCTCTGGCTGTTTCCTTCTGCTAATAGAGACACAACTAACGCAGACAGGGCCAGCACTGCTCTAGCACACACTTTTGCTGGCACTTGACACCACTCCTCTTGTCACATCCCTGGACATCTCAGACATGCAGAGAAATGCATTTCCTTCCAGGTCCACAACTGCTTTTTATGTTAGGCTTATCATACTACTACGTATACACGTGAAGTTCAGGATAAAACTGCCTAATTCTGAATGAAATTTCTCACACAGGTTTTCTGAATCAACACATACTCTGCCTCTTCCCTGGGCTTCTTAACCTAATACCATATGATAACCAGACAATTCCCTGCTGCAGGAAAAAAAGTAAAAACTATTAAGAAATGAAATTTTCTGCAGGGCTGATCCTTAGATAGCACCTGGAAATAACGTACTCTCATGGTTTTTAACCAGAACGTCGACATAGCTATTAGAGACCTTCTAAGTCACTGGCAACACTTCAAACCTAGCTGATAGCAAACCCTCCACTGACCTCACAAGGGCCCAGATTTCACTTGGCTCCTATACAACATTGTCTCAAACATCTAGGTGCATCATAACTACTATGTGTACATTTGGTCCCTTTCAGCCTAAGAAATGATAAACAAAGCCTGGACTCGGTAGGGTCTGGCTGTTTAACAACTTTAGGGCTAAAAGAGCAACAAGTTCAAAATTAAAAAAAAAAAAGAAAAAAGGAAAAAAATGGAAAATAAAAGAAACAAAAGCAGCTATTGTAAAACAATAATCCTGGGCACTTAACAGAATGCTGCAAGCTTCAATACCACCCTGTATTATAGTATCAGTGGTTCGCTTGGCTGAAAGTGATTAATTTCTTGAAAATGCTAAGGTCACACTAATTGACATGACCTGTGTAATTAAGCAGTCTCTGTTTACACATGGAAAGCTCAACTGCTGTGAAGCTGGGTTTGTATGACAGAATGTCTTTACAAGTCAAGAGATCAACAACCTTTCCTATGTCCTACCTACTCGCTGACACAGGCTCCTGATTGCTGTTCTGAGAGAACACGCGAAGGCATTACCATATGAAAATCAGCCTCAAGCTTGGACGAGCACAAACCCAGCAGAGTGTACATGTTGTGAAGCAAGCTCTGACAGGCCCCAGGGGTGACTGCTTGGCCTAAATCCCTGTGCTGGTGAGAGTCCTTTTTCCACTTTCTCTTTCAGTGATAATGCCCTCTTGAATCACAGGAGAAATGTGACAAAGGGAGGAGTGTGGCGTGAGAAGCCAAGGGCTCTGCCATGCTAATGCTTGCTCTTATACTGATTAATTTAATCCCTGTGGCCACATATCCTCACTTCTTCACTTCTGTGTTCAAAGGGGCAAACAACAGCCTTCTGCCTTCCAGCATTGCTGCAATTAAACAGTCCAACAAAGGACATATGTTCAACATATAAATAATATTGCCATTTACATAACATTTAGCACTTTTATTTAAGTGCAGTAATGCTGAAGAAGAAGGAAACAAGGTCCTGAGCTACTGCAGAAAGCAGCTGTCTTTCGGAGTTGTCTTCCTCCAAAGATCCATGTGGTCCACAGGACAAACATCCTAGTTCTGTCTCAGAACCCCGAGCCAAATCCCCTCTGGCAGACTCTATCATGTTTTCTCCCTGGGCCACACAGGCTCCTCTTATCAAAACAGAAGGTCCTTTGCCTCTGTACCCCATAGTTTTATTCAGCACATACTCAGGTAAAGCATTATTGGCACAGTCAAAGGACTATATTGGTCCTAAGGACCAAGATTGAAGCAACTATTACTCAGCATTGCCACCATACCAGTCTGCTGCCAGACCTGGGGAAGGCAAGTGCAGACCATCTTCCAAAGGACAGCACTGTACTTGATCTCAAATGTAGTCATGGACATAGATGCAGCATAACAAAATGTCCTTGGTGATCTGAAGCTGTGTTCCCAAGTCCCACTGCCATATCCTGCAACAGTGGGGAAATACCAGCCAAAAGCATCCCAAGAAAGATACACTTAATGGCAGGTTTTAACAAGTGCTGACTGCAGAGATGGACCTTCAGCTTATGGATGAACTTTTATGAGCCTTTAATGCTGCTGAAGAATAACTGCTGATAACAATCCTGATTTTGTTAATTACTTTTATATCCTCCTCTGCCCCTTCCAATAGACCTGGTGCTCATTTGGTGTTTGCATGAAGGCAGATAGTTCCCCAGGCAGAAAGGAGTATCTCAGAGCGGCATAGCCCCATAACCTAAACCAACAGTGAGGTCATTTTGATTTTTCCTTTCCATGCTTTCATTTCCCATGGAAATGACATTATCTTCATTATTGTCCAGAGCAAGAAACCCCAATTACTTCCTGCCAATTCTGCTGTGACAAGAAGTCTTCAGGCAATATTTTGTGACCTTTTGTTTTTAGCATCTTCCAGTGAATTACTAGGTTAGTTTGGGTCAAAGCACTTCTGTTCCTAACAGACACTGATTTTTAAAGGAGGAAGCGTGTCCAACTGACCTGGAACCGACGCATGTCTCGAGGGTTTCCTGCATTTTTTAGGCAATTTTGGTTACATTTGAGGAAAAATTTCAAGAAGAACCTGTGGAGAAAGAGAAACGGACATTAACATCTTATAAACGGTGTGTAGCAGTCATATGCAACATCTGCACATTTGGTCCAACAAAGCCTTATTTACATTAGTTTTCAGACAAATCCTCCCACTGACCAACCAAAGAGGGAGCAGAGCTTCCACAGGCCCCAGTCCAGCAAAATGTGTAACCACATCCTAAACATTTAAGGATTAAATTAATATATCTGTTCTAATAGAGCCATTAAGGTTTGCAAAGTCAGTCCCTCTCATGGTGAACGCCAGCTTTGCCATGCCATCCATAGCAGCAAGGAAGTAAGAGGCACATATTTCAGCACCGCCAAAAGAGGACAAAGAAATAACAGCCAAGAAAATTCCCATACGTACAAATGGGGTTTTGTTTTAAAAGTTCGTTGTCATGTTCAAATTTTGATATAATACAAAAATTCTCAAAACATTCCCTACAGTTGAAATCTCCCACAATTAAGCCCAGTTTGTGCACAAAATTAATGCTCAAACAGTGGCTAGTGGGAGACTCAAAACTCTGAGAGGAGAAGGGGGTAAGTGTTGATTAAAAGACTGACTTCATGGAGAAATGAAATATTTGCTGTGCAGTCTATTTCCTGGCCATACACAGTTCACTGAAGTAGCTATATGACCCTGACATATATCTCTAGGAAAAGACATTGCATTTTACAAAGCCAAAGAAAAAAGCAAACATTTCACTGAAAATATTTCCTTCAGTGTTATGCATCAGTGGACTGTAAACTCATAAAGACAAGTCAGTGAATAATAGTGGGTTTCAGATTCCAGGCTTCCTCCCTGAGAGCCAAAGTTTGTCAACCTTTTGCCCAAAATAAACTACAGAATAAGGTCTACTGAAGCTCAGCCATACAAAATTTAGTCCTATAGCAAGTTTAAAACTCAGCACAACCAGGCAGAGCAGCATTACTCTTGCAATAACCATCAGATGACTAAGCAGAAGCTATTCTGACCTGTTTCCCTATGCAAAACTGGAGCAAGGAATTGCTTGATTCTGTTTTACTTTAAATCAGAAAGTTAACTTTTGCAAGCACCCATCTTCTAGCATCCATACTGAATTCCAGGTCAGCTGAATTTGCACACACTTCCACCCAAAAAGGCAAAACTGCAGGGTAAACAGCTTCAGAAAATCCCTTCTTGATGAGGAGCAGTTTTTGCTCTGCTCTAGTTGTGATGCTGCCTCTCAACAAGGCAAGTTTTGGTGCTTGCTCCTCCATGCCAAGACAATCACACTAGGCAAATGGCTGCAAAGACAAATTGAAACTACAAGGGACTGTTTTCATTAAAGAAAAGTAAGGCAATGAGGATGAGTATAAAATGTGATGACTGGGATTATCAAGGACTAGATCTCCTGACCGAGGAAGTCCCTTCTAGACCTGTATTCCTAAATAAGAGCAAGCGATCAACATAAACCAAACAGCTGCCACACTTGAACAGGGGTTTGGAGACACTGTGCTTGTTTATACTAAAATAAAGAGCAGTGTAAGCCATTACATTTTCTCATCAAGCAGGTTCTGATATTCAGTAACGAAAAGTTGGTGTTATTTGTTGTACATGCGTGCGTCCGTTTAAGCCTCTAATGGCCAGCTGTGACAGCCTGACTCAGATTGTGTAGAAGGAGCTGTCAGCACAAATCTTGGCATCTCAAATCCAGACAACTGCTTGCCACCAGGCAAGGGTTTGTACTCGTGCCAGAATGGATTCTGAGAGACAAGCAAACAGGGCATTAATTCTGCCAAAGAAAAATGAAAAGCGGGGAGAGTTCAGGATCTTACACTTCAGATGATGGGTTTCCTGTCAGCAGCTGGTCATTTAGCTCATGAGCTATGAAGGGCACGGACATCAGATCCCTCTTGCCCTAAGCTGGCCCTGTCATGCGAAATGCTGGCAGGATCCGGAGACCACTCCTCTGTGCGAGATGGCTTGCTGAAATAAAAAGGCCGGCCATCTGTTGGGAGGCAAAGACATCCCTGTCAGCTGGTGCCTACAGCCTCGAACAGGCCCTTATGTGGCAAAACCTCTCCGAGCTGCTTACTCTTTGGGAAAAAGCTGGCACTGACCTGGGTTTGCTGGGGCATTTTTGGTGGCTTCACCAAGCACCAAGGCCAGCAGCTGCCTACCCGGGCTGCTGCAGCCCTGGAGAAACACCTTGGACCCAAGGGGAGTTGGGACATGGAATAGGTAGAGAAATCTGCATGAAAAGACAGCACCAGCCATGCAGATGTGAGAAGTGCCTTCCCAGTATGGCTTTGCACAGCACACGAGTGCATGACAATGGAAGTTGGTGGGTTGACTAAAGGGTCCCAAAAGAGATTGAAAGCTCTTTGCAAAGCTTTCCAAAGAAACTCTGGGCCTTCCCTTCTGTTACAAAGTCTGAGCTAACATCAAGTTCAAAGGCTTGGAAAATCATTATGACATACAAGAGTTGGCTTTTGGGGTCCTAAAACTCTAACCCAAAGTTTCAAAGTCTAACTCCATTTGCACTGTGTTATCTCCCCAGATTCCACAGAAGCTTCACCAAAATAAACTTCAGAAGAAATGAAACTCATCTATTTAAACCTATCAAAAAACCTCAGGCAGGCAAGCAAGCAAGCAACCAAACAAAACATCCTTTGAATTAAATTAACTCCAGAGAAAAAAATCAACTTAAAAAAATAACAGTATTTTGGGAGGAATTTCCAAGACCCCAAGCTTACCCAGCCAAGTTCACTCACTGCATTTTAAGTAAGAAGTCACCAGTTTACAGAACACATTCTGCCAAGCACCGTATTTTTATTCAACTGAAAGACAAAACAAATTATAGGCTGCACTTTGCTTTGGAACACACCAGAGCTGGATCCCCCTGGCTATGTGAAAGCATCCCACGCTCATCCAGGCAAGAGCCGAGCGGCTCCCGAGCTGGCATGGCACGTGCCAGCAGACGGTCTCCCCCAGCTCTGGCATGAATGCGGATGCGAACACAGTAAGACAAGAGCAGACGGAGCAGTTTGATTCACAGGGTTCAGCCCAGTTTCTCAGTCCCTGCTTTACACCACTTGTTCAGGTGCCTTTTTCACCTGGGTCCAGTCCTGCCAGCCTTGCTCATTAGAAACACTTCACTCTGCAAACATGTCAGATTTAGATTGACAGGACTAGTCCAGGAGAAGTGCCAACAGAGCTGAGCTCTTTGTAAGCATAAACCTCCATCTCCATTTGTTTGCATCTGACTTCTTCACAGTAGGTTATTTTTTCAGTTCTAACTTTCTCTGTGCTTGGCAAGGCTGTATAGCATTAACACTAACCACAGAGGATATATAGCACTAATACTAACCACCAAGGTCTGAAATTCATTCCCAAGATGAAAAAAAAAACATGCAAAACACAAGAGTGTCAATAAAATCTTCAACTTTAACTCTCCCTCCAAACTTGTGTGATTGCTGAACACCAGCTTTTCTGCCACACAAGACTCAGTCATCAATTATACTTATTGCTACCCTTGAAGGTTTATTTTTTTGCATGAATCAAACAAAACATATTTCTGCTTCCCTTCCTGACTACCAACATCCCTGGTGTGAAGACCATTTGTGCATATGGAGCAGAGAAACACAAGCCAGCTCCATGCAAATCAGCTCAGGTCCAGAATCATGCAAACTTTAATAAAGCACGTGGATTTAATGACTTACATTGCTATTAAATCACAGGACTCCATGCTTTGCCCCTTATACTGCACAGACATGGTTAGAGGGTGTGCAGTTTTGGAGAAAATCAGTTAATTTTAGCTCATATTTAAGCTGCTTTATCACTGCTACTTCTAATTCCTGACCACTGGCTCCCTCCTCATTCCTGCTCCTTCCATCCTCTGATTCCCCTCATTCAGCTGAAGGACCTAGTGAGCACGGTACCAGCTGGAGGTCACTCCACTTGTATAAAATACTCCCTGCCATTCACTGCTGGCCATTATGCACTTCACACTGCAACCCCTTGGGTTTGTGCAATACCCTTCCCAGCAGCACCCGCTCTTTGTCACTGCTAAATAACACCGTGATTTAAATTAAATAAATACACAGCAGAAATGGAAATACTAGCAATAAAGATGTAAAAGGATTTTGCCCTCCTACTTTTCTTGCCACTACAAATTAATACCCATGTCTATTAATAATAAATGAAGATTTAAATTAAAGAAAGCAAGCTCTGACATGATCTTGGTTGGCTTTTCTGTCACTCCCCTGAAGGAAATTTAAAGGAACTCAAACACGAAGGCTTAGCAGTAGGATTTTCTTGCCATTGCCACAATAAATATGTCTGTGGAAGGAGAAAAAAAGTTGGAAAGAAGACCTGCTGCATTCCTGATGCTGAAGAAAAGCTTGTTTGTTCCCAACACATTGGAGAAGTTGTTCAAGAGCAGTTCATCCATGTGAAAATACGACAGCTGTCATGCTGCCAAGGTCAGCCAGACCAGTGGCTATCCAGAAAGTGAGTGCCAGTTATACAACTTAAACCTGGCTAGGGCAAACAAAATTGACAAAATGCACCTTTTCTGAGGTATAAACACGTTTGAGAGAAGAGGGTAACTTTAGACTCCTGGCTGAAACACAGCAGTTAAGTATATGTGGGTTTGCAAAATTAGCAAAACCAAAATACATGGGCCGGTGCAATAATTAGCAACTGTCCATCAGATAAAAGGATTGCACACCCATTCTGTATGACATACCAATTCAGCAGAGTACTAAATATGTGCATAAATTTAAATACACAAGCAGTACTGACGGAGACAAAGGTACTACTCACATACTTCAGTACCTTGCAGAACCAGCTCTGATATCAGCCTCCCTCCTTTTTTTGATTGTCCTCCCAGGAAAAGATGATGCTACAAATATAATTGTCTCAAACAATATCTAATGAGTACTGCAATAAGTTATACTGCACCTACTGTTAACTAATTCTACTTAGTAATTTGCCACTAAAATCAAAATATAGAGAAAATGCATTTA